GCCTGCGCACACGCCTCTGAGTCACCCCTGGAGATAAACACGATGCACCAGGACGCGAGGAGATCTCTGCTGGAGCTAAACCCACTAATTCAGCTGGTTTCTACCAACAGCTTCTCACCTATCTGAAAATTTAAGGGACATTTTCAAAAGCACCTGAAAGATTCAGACACACAAATCCACGGCCAGCCGGGCTCACACTGCTGAGCAACACAGACACCTGAATATATCCTCCAGGAGCACACAAGCCTCATTAAAGTCATGATGTAACTTGTGTTACAAAACTGGTGCTGGCTTGGCTGCTAGCCTTTTGCAAGAGGAGTTTGGTTCCCCAGCTTGACTGTAGTAACAAGCACCCCTTGGCTCTACTGTGGGAACAAGCGCTGCCACCTGCACCGCTCACAGTCGGGCTCACCCCACGAGGAGGAGGGTGTCTAGTGCAGGAAGGAGAGAGCAAACAGGCTCCCAGCTCAGCAACAAAACGTCAGCCTGCTACAAAATACTGCCCAAACAGGAACTTAGAAACTCTTTATTTAAAGAATCCACTGCTTTCCCTATAGGTTGAACCTGTAAGATTGAACTACTCCATCGGTTCAGGTTGCACACAGTACAGCTACAATGAAGGTGCTTCGCCTCAAACCAAATTAAAAGCATCCAAATACATCTGAGCAGCCTGTAGAAAACATTTCAGGTGGCTTAAGTACGTTCTCTCTCCAGACTACAACAGCACTTAGCGAATTTATTCAGACAAATGATGAAACACTTCCAAGCAGTAGAAGAATGACAGTGAGCAGCCTCCAGCTGCCGAAGAGCAATGGCCTGTGCCCCGAGCTGAGCAACTTGCTCAGCATTGCAGGGAAGGCAGAAAAGCTGAAAGCGCCCATGGCGCGGAGCCGGCACGCGTCTGCCTTGCCATCTTGGTCATTCCCTCATTAACTATTTTTAGCTTTAATCTTATGACACCTGTTGATGGTGAAAGCAATTAGCAAGTGGAGACTGCCATCCTGCATTCTTTTAAAAATAGCAAAGTGTGGAGAAAAGACATAGTCAAGCACACGATGGAAACACGACAGCCTTAGCCTCAAGAAATCACACGGCTAAATACACCAGACCTAAATAAAGAATTGCTTAGGTGCCACAAAGATGTTTCCAAACAAGCAGCAGCGTCCTGAGTGCGAGGGACATGCAAGCAAGAGGCTTAATAGAAAAAAACTCTAAGAAAAATCTTTAGTGTGTTCTGTTTAACTCGCTCATTCCAGCTCCTGACACACACACATTTCACCAAAAATCTGTAAAGGAACGCTATGACACCTGTGTGATTTACACAGTTCATGTGTCAGCGTGTAAGAGTTGTTACCAGCCGTGAAAATCCTGTAAGAGACCAGACTGCAATTTAGGATCCAGCGTGACAACCCTGAGCCTCAGCATCAGCAGAGCATCACCCCAGCCAGGGCACCGCAGGACTGCTGGTCCCTGCAACAGCCAGAACACACGCCTGACGCAGGTTTGGCACTTCAAATCAGGCAAAAAACAATTAACTAGAACAAAACTGCATTAGAACACATTAAACGGAACCTTCTGTCTGCTGACACTGCTCTGGAATGTAGGTAACTTCTTGAAATTTTGGAATACAACAAGTGTTTCGGAGTCTTTGAAGTACCTTGTTTTTACACCATAATTCAAGATACAGTGAAGGTTGCAAAAATCACGATTAGACACTCAAGCCTCCTTTAAAAAAGAACTTCATTACTTACCCAGACCTGGAAGACAGCAATGCAATCTCTTACCATCAGCACAAGTAATTAAGAGGGATGTAGTGAAAACAGAATTGGAAAAATCAGCCTGCTTTGATGACTGCTTTCGTCACCAGAAAGAAAAATTGGTACTCTGTGCATTCCTTATGGCTGCGAATTGCAAACACACAATTCAAATGCACACACTCCAGAACAAATCCTTGAAAGAATCCCTTCAGGCACCCAAATTATCTCTCAGATGCACACAGTGTTGTGTTAGAAAAATATGACCTAAAACTGATGAGACTGCGAGTACCCAGTATTCAAAGCACCTGTTGCATCCCAGGCATCCTCTGGCAAAGCCCATCCACGGAACAAACCCGTTACCATCGCTTCATTTGGGCTTGGCCAACTCGTTGCACTTCTAAAACCCAGAAGCGCAGGAAATACAGAAGCAAGCGCTTTCCAAAACATTGCCTCAGGAAGACAAAACAAATCACCTCTCTGGTACCACAGCAAACATCGCTGGAAAAAGCACTGTTGCTACTCCTGGGAGGAATCAGCCCAGAGAGCTGCAATTAGACAGAGGAGGAAAAAAAAAAAAAAAAGAAAAAAAAAGGCTAATTGACATACTTGTTTTCTAGACAGAAATAAAATTTTTAGCTCGACTTGTCTGTATTTTATGAAATGACACTTCTACAGGGATAAAAGCAAAATTATCTATTTTGGCGTTATATAATGGAAAAACAGACAAACAAACCCCAGTGTATACGATGGCGTAAGAAAACCGATCCAGAACATCAAAGGGAAAAGCAGCAGGTTCCCAAAATTAACAAAAAAATTTTTGTGATTCTAAAAATTGAATAATTTGGATTATAATCTTTCCTACTACCTCTATTTTAAAGACTTGGCTGAACAAGTATGAAGGTCACAAGGTTCAACTCTGGATCTCCTGTGCAAAGAGTGGGAACAGTGTTAGTTCCTTTCTTTCCTGCATAAGGGTTCGAGGGGAAAAAAAAACCAGCCACCAAGAATACAACAGTTTCCAAATTGCACAAAATGTTTATTGTTAGTCTAGTACATTCAATATCATATGGACTAGAATACAGTAATTCAAAGTATTTTTGGCGAACTGAAATTTTTTTAAAAACTGTTTCAAACACTCCAAAAAAAGCAATGCCATGAAAAATTAACTTAAAATTAAAACAAACATATTCAAGCAATAGCTTCACTTTTGACTACAGAAAACTTTTACATGTCTTTTAGTGGTTTTAACAGTACTGCATTGAAACAAAACATATGAAGTCACAAAAAGTGGAAAATATTAAAATAGTCACAACGTTAAAAAACTGAGGCATCCGGATGTGCGAGACTGTCGTACTCGAACCACCTGCCCCGCTGTTCCGCGTGCTCTCTGCCGGGGCAGCTCACCAGTCTGCTGCGCTGGAGCCGTTTCTCCCATCGCCTGCAAACACCACACGGCAATTCTGCAACGCCTTGGATTTTGAAGTTTGTCCCTCTCGTAAATGCCGTATAACAAAGGTGTAGATACTAAAAGATGCAACCCCCTGGCAAATCTAGGTGCAATATTAAACAGTACCTCAAAAAACATCCTTATCTTGCTACGTATTGTTTGCAGACAGGCAATATCCAGAACAAAATCTGAAAAAGGCAACACGTTTTGGTTTTGTTTTTAAATACTGACATGAAAAACCGAGTAAATTAGAAAAAGGATAAAGTCAATCTTAATATAAGACATTCATTATATAGTGGGACAGGATACAATTATTGGACAAACAGTATTACAATGACTCTTCTACCTCTGGTCATTTAACGCACGTGTTCTACAATCATGACTTGCTACCACGCTCCATTTTCCCGTGCAGAAAGACAGCGATAAAAAGCAAAACCAGTTTTACTTTGTGTGAAATCCCAGAATGACAAGTGACGCCGTATCAAGCTCTTCAAGCTCTCCTCCCTGGAAGGCTGCGCTCGTGAAGAGCCAGTGACCACGGACTCGGAGCGGTGAGCAGCCGCCTCGTGCCTGCTGCTCCCACCAGCACCAGCCCAAGGGAAACTGGTGGGAACGGGCTCCGTTGGCCAACTTAAACCCCTTTGAAAAGCCAAACTTTAACGTTACAGCACCATGGTGCGTACACGGATTCTGGAGAACTGACCAACCCCCTGATCTGGATATTGATGGGGACGCTGCTGTCGCCTTCCTTAATGTCGCCGACCCTCGGTACGGCAGCTGTCACCCAAACTGCTGCCCGGCTGGGAGCACAGTTGGGAATCTTGAGGAGAAAATCACGTTTATTATTTCTTTTAAAGCACTTCATTTCCATCATGGTAAAGCCAAATTACGGTTCTGTTTAAGTGGTACTACAGTTGAGCAGAATACTATCAGGTTAAAACACTGCAGAATCACATTTAGAGTTTAGCTCATAGAGGTGGTTATTACAATTACACTTGTAATACAACCTGTGGAAGAGGTACGATGTTTGCTCGTCAGTACAGTGTGTGGAATGTAACCGTTTCTTGCAAGATTTTGCATCATGAGTAGCTGCATAGATGACAGTTGTGTTTTCAGTTCAGTAAATGTACTCTTAAGGTTTACAAAAAACACCAAAAGTTTCTATAAAAGTCACATTATACCAAGATAATGGGCGGTAAAAGTAGGTTATTTGTCTGTGATTCATGTTTAACAAATGGCTAGTGGAAAGGTGATAGAAACCAATTTCAAATCAAGACAGTTACACTTTTTGCTATTGCACTGACTTCACCATTTGAATCGCTGATTTAGAAAAACTGACGCAGTTAAAAATTGTAAAATTAAAACTAGGATACAAAAATTTATTTGTAAACATCATCAGGTAGCCAGTTCTGCTAACGTGGAATGGACTCTGGGTACTGCAGCACAGTATCCCGGTTATTTACAGCACTTGCCAGGTGATGGGCAATTGCAGGACACAAACATCATCAGTTCACAGTAATTGTGTTCAGAGAACTACCAAAGTCAGTGCGGTTTTCCTGTGCCATTTTCCAATTTCCCCGAATTCCTTACATCAAATAATACTGTTACAGAGGCCAAGTGCAGATTTTTTTTATATCATCTATATCAATTTATCTCACAAGTGACGAATGATGTCTGCAGGACTTCTGTAAAGGTACTTCCAAATGGCGTAGTAGTGAACAGCAGCTGCTGTGGCCACGAAGACGTGCCAGATGGCGTGGGCAAACGGAATGACTCCATCGCTCTTGAAGAACACCACGCCCAGGCAGTAGATCAGCCCCCCCCAGGCAACCTCCTGAAGCCCATCGGTGTTGCTCTGTCAATTTAACAAAGAAAGATTAGGGATGAGGAGGCGTAAAGGAGGGAAAGGGCGTTATGTGCAAAATGCAAAGTGCTTTCAGCTCCAGAAAAGCGAGTTGGCTGTCAGCACGGAACACCTTGGATAGGACAGATGGCCGAGAGAAAAAAACAAAACAAAACAGTGGATTATACTTTGTGAAATATGTAACAGTACATAGTATGTCTCAATAGCACTACAGAAGGGGTGACACTAGGATTAAGACAAGTTTGCTTCATGCTCCTTAGCAGAGCAGACAAACAGGCTGTGGGTAAGCCTGAGTTTAATGCAACTCCTAGTAGCTGGATGAAACATCCAGCAAGGCTTTGGTCCAGCCTTCACGCGGAACATTTAAGGCATCACTTCGCAGAGGTGTCAGACATACATTAGCAGCGGAGCAGGCTACTCAAAGTTATTTAAAATACACAACTATGAATAAATACTAGTAACAGTTCTGAGGTGGACAAGACTGAGTAGGATGTTTTACAGACACACCAAGAAACCTTTTTTAAAAATAAAAGCTAACACTTGAGGGATCGAGTATCCCGGACAGTGAGTCAGTTTGATACCGTTCATCTACTTATCAACCTTTCAATTTTCCCCTGCTTCACCGATAAAACGAAGCCCCTAGTAAGAGACAAAACCTTCCAGCTTTGCTGCCCCTGAGTAATTTTGAAATGAGCAAGAGCCAATTTACTTGCCCATCTTGGTCCAGACCACAGAATCCACTGATTAGATTTTCCAGAGAGCTCTTGCATGCACCAAAGAAAAGCACACTGTATTACCAGAAATCTGTTTCACTTTTCTAAAGAAAAAGCTTCTTTCCCAATCTGTAATTGGTAAGGGGGCATTAAGTAAGTTCATAAATAGTAAAACCTAAAAACATTCCTCGACAGGCTAAGTTACTTCACATCTTCACAGTTTTTACCTAAATGGAAGTAAATGAATTGTTATGTCCCATGTCCTTTGAGAAGTGAGGGTGTTGAGAAATGAAATTTGGAACCTAAGCTCTTTTCATCTAGATGCTGCAGCCCAGATTCAATATAACAAGGTAGCTTTTCACTGAAATGTAAACTGTAAACTCAAAATATAACTGTCTATATTTGGTTCTCCTGCAGAGAACACTTAATTATGGTGGGCTAAAATTAACACCTTCAAAGAAGAAAGAGTGCTGCACTGGAACTTAAGCTAGTCATAAAGCAAAAGTTTGCGTGTTTGTAATGTCAGTAGTCACATTCCTTACCATGGATGTCACTACCAGAGCAGGAGAAAATCCCATCGCTAAGTAGAAAAAGAGTTCAACGATCTTATACCTAAAAAGAAATCATTTGAGTCATTTAAGGAGGTGTACAAGTGGATAAATGTTTCCTTCAAGACTAAAGAAAACAGTTTCAATTTCATGTTAGCATAAAATTCTATACAGATAGGTAACTAATGTTTTACAACAAGAGTAAACCTAGTATTTATCTGTATTGAACAGCTGCAGGCAATACCTTCTTCTCTAAATACTGCCTAGATGCATTCACTTGCATCAGGTAGAAGCCAGAATGAATCATTGAGACAACTTTTATTTTCTTATTTGACAAGAACCTCGGTAGTGCATTTTCGAAACAAAAAAAGTTGGGTCTTGTTCCCTGAGGACAGGTAATGAAAACAGGCTCAAGAATTCAGATCTGAAACCCAAGGACTCACATCTCAAAACCAAGAAGGCAGCACGAGTCAATATGCACCAGTGTATTTAAACAACAGTGTTGCAGTATAATCAATATACGGTTACATAAATCAGGGGCTAAGAAAGCCATCACTTCAACTGCTTTCTTACCCTATCCACTCCCACCCCTGCTTTCCTGTAATAACAGTTACAAGCTTTGAAAGCAGATACTTTCCTCCCACCCCTTTAAGAACAGGGTGAGTACAATCCCCTTCTGACAAGATATAAGTTTGCATCATTCTCATCACATATTTCCACTGTTTCAAAGCTCTTATTTCAAAGTGTGACAGGTTGGACTAGAACACTCAGAAAGCAAGAAAGCCCTCACCTTTTAATCTCAGTTTAAAATTAAATGCAAAAAATAACTCTTACTTTTCATGGTAGAGAAATACATAAATGGTTCCTCCAGCAGCCATCAGCCAGATAAACCAACGCATGTGGGATGCCAGAGGTCCCAGCTCACGTAGATTTAACCTGAGGTACGAAGATTTCAAGAGAGAAAAGTGATGAATGGGGGAAAAGATACTTGGACAACCTATACACAGAAAGGCAGGAGGTGTGTTTGCATTGAATGCATAAACCGGGATAGGTGTAATATAAATAAGTGACTTTTTGCTGTTCTCTTATACTATTTCTGTTCAGCAAACCCCAGGAGATTACACCATGTTGCATTTCACAGTGCTGAATGTGGTCCATTGCATCTGAGACGACACCCATAGATTTTGGAAAGCAGCAATGATACACTGCTCATGTTGGAAAAAACTTGGATTCGGAAGCTGCGCTTCAGGTTTCTTACCATGGCGCATACGATGCCGCAATAAAGACGTAGATCATCATTCTGTCACACATGTGGAAGCAATGCTCCATTGTCCTAGTAAGAGAGAAAGCAAGTCATCACGACAGATTTTGGAAAGGTGTTTGTATCACCTCAGTTTCCTGACAGGCTTTGGAATTACTTTGGGGAAAATACCGTCTGCTTCGTAACTCCTTAAAAAAGTCCTGGAAGACCATCCAGCTGACTTCAACTTCAGGAGGTCATAAGCGAGACACGTGGGAGAGGAGCACTCCTCCGTTCCTCTCCCCTTCCCCACCCCATCACACCTCCTGCTCTTCAGCAAGGAGGCAGAGAGCTCTCACACCAGCTCTGCCTAATCCAGAAACTGCTGCTATTCAGTGACTACTGGTTAAGTCCTATTTATCACCCAGAGTTATACAGGAGTCATAAGAGGACCAGAAAAATAATAAACCAAACTAAACTAAATCACATCTTTGCTGTTGCCTTGCTCCCAAGGAGGCTCTGTTTGTTAGCTGGCTATTGCACTGTAATTCTCTTGGCAAAAATCTGTGTTCCTCCAAGTATCTGAGCAGGCCAATGTTCTCATTTCTGCAACAGGATTACATCTGCTGCGCACTTCAATTATGTTTTTCCCATGCAACTTCTGGATTAGAACCCACTAGAGCCTATAAAATCAGACATTTTCCTTGTGAAACGGCAGCAGACGTTAACATTGGTTGTGTAGGAGCTTGGCTCACTATTTCTTCCAACAGAATCAAAGGTGGGCTTTTTCACGTTTTGGCACAAAGTCCCACTCTAGCCTTCTGTAAAATCACGGTTTTGACCACTTGAGAAGCGCAATGGGAAAGCACCTTACAGAACGTGAAAGCAAACTGTCTTACACAAGAGCTATTGCGCTACCTTAAGTGACTCTTTTTCCAAGAAACGATATGAAACACTGTGGAGACGATGAAGAGGGCGCAGAGCCCCATGCCGTACATCCACGCCGTTATCTTCTCCCATTGATCATCGGAGAGCCGGTGGAGGAGGGCACTGCCCACAATCGCGGGAACAATGAGGAACTGAGAAAACAAAAGGCCGTTGTTAGGTCCTTCCTCGTGGCCAGGGCGGTACCACCCTCGGGCACGGCCACAGCCACGCAGGCACGACCGTGGCGCAGACCCCGTGTCCGACACCTGACGGCACGCTGCTCGCCAGAGCAAATCCTTCATTTAGTTCTGTCGTCATTTAGTTCTGACACTTGTGTGTCAGAACTTCACTCGTGTCTCAGATATCTAGGTTGTGAGAGATCTCGTCCCACGTGGATTAGGCCAGGTTACCAGCACAACACAAAACTGGACAAACAGAACATGCTAAGTTTTGGTAGTGTTTTTATTTGCACATTCTGCTTTGCATTTTGAAAGAGTTTTGATCTTACTCCAGACTTGAATCTAAATCACCTCTTGTGCATAGAGGCAGCGTGCAGGACAGACCAAAATAAGCTTAAATCCCAAATGAAAAATTAAAGCATTTAGTAGCACGCACTTAAGAGAATTAAGCAAAAGGCTTTGCAGAACTTGGGTTTTAGGTATCATAAATAAATTAAATGCAAACTTCTTTTATTAATAGATTGTCCATGCACAAATGGGATGTTCTCTTAGTGCGGTGTACCCAGTTCTGTTTTCCTTGAATTTCAGCTTGAATTCAGATCTTCCAAATCAACCACTGTTAGAACATCATGATGGAAGTAACAAGCTCACATCCAGCATCTAAGAAGTAGGCTCCATAACTTTGTATATAGTTAAAATCACACTCCTTTCCCGAAAAAAATTTTTAAAAAAGCATGTCCAACAAGTATTTAAAGAACCTACTGGCTCAGACATTTCTACCTGTCTCCTTGCACCAGGAAGGCTCTCTGCTACCTGTCAGCCTTGTGAGTTAAAACCGCTGCACAAGTTCCCTTCCGGGCCCTATGGTGTGTGCCTTAAGATGCTAATTCATCCACTTGAATCGTAAATAAGCCTCACAGGTTAAATTCTTTGTAGTTTGACCCAAGTCTCACATGCTAAACAATAAGACTAGGAATAAGTAACAAATCTGGCAACTCTGCTTTTCGTTACAGGTTGGATAGGATAGGGCACAAAGCTCTGCTCCGGCCTGAGCTGTCTCTGCCCTTTATCTGCTCACAGACTAGAAGAAAAGGAGGCTCTGATCACAGCTGCAGTGCAGAAGATGCAGGGTATCCCCAGTGAAGCTGAAAAGGAGTTGGTTAATGCAGAGTTAAAAACCCCACAAACACAAGAACACAAAGCAAAACTAAAAAAAAAAAAAAAAAGGAAAAAAAGATACGTGGCTTCTACTTCTGGCTTTTGAAGTATATCAACTGAAGCTTCATTTTATTATATTTTATTTCTTTTTGCAAAATTTAGTACATTTACACCAGAAGCTGTAGAGTCATGGAAATGAAAGGTATGGCTCTCCTGTATCCTCAGAAGGAAGACTACAGCCACATGAGAACAGGGATGAAGGCCTGAATCAATCTCTTCTCAGCCTTGTCCTGGCTCTGAAGAACGATTCTACGTCTCACAGGGAACAGCACTATACTATCACGAGAAGGATTTATTGTTTTTAATAAGTATTCTATGTGGAAACACTTTCCCTCTGTGCCTGATATGCATCATGGGAACAGTTAGACTAAACAAGAGATGTTTTATTACGCTTCTTCTGACTAAAAATAGCTAGATTAAAGACAAAATCCAGGAGCGATACCCTGCTGTCCCAGCCAACTGGATAAAAGGTTTTTTTAGATACTAAAGCCATAACAGATAACACATGATACAATGGACTTCACCACATCTAACATCGATCTTGCAAAAGAAATACAGGACTTTAGTCAAGAAAACACGGCAGGTTTTCCCAAGTTCATTTGAAAAAAGTCTCTAACGCAAGAACTTCATTTTAAGCTTTTGAACAGAGAAGAAATCAATCAGCCCTTTAAAAGGAGGGGTATTTACCAAAAAAGAGTCAAATAATCAGAACTAACAGAATAAGCATGATTGTGCCGTTAACAGCAATGACGTCACATTTCTAACTTGCCAGTATTCCCAGTAAAAAACCAACTAGGCAAACATTACAAAAAGCTTTGCTAATTCCATCTTGAAGTGCAATTCTTCCAAAGGAAGATGAAACCCAGCAACTTAATGCACTGTGAACAAATCCAAAACTGTGATACTTCAGTTTACTAATTTTAGCACCTTCATTAATGCTTGCTAAACGAGAAACAGGGCTGGTAGAGAGAGTTACAGAACAAGAGAGACAACTACAGCTTTGCTAAGTTTTATAGAGAAATGCCAGATCGAAATGAGAGCATTGAGTTACAAAACTCTTTGCAATAAGACGATAACAATGGATTAAATTACATTTATTTACAGCTATAGGCAAGAATCCTTAAGAAGAGGCTTAGGCATAACCTCTGTGTGATGTATTTTGGAAAACTAAGACAACCCCTACTGTCACAACTAACAGCAAGTGCAAAAAGCCTGAAGGCACAGAGAAAGATACTGGAACTGGCAGCTGTAAACCTGACCAGGCAGACTTCAGGGAAATTACACTCTCTTGTTACTAACTTACAGCAAAGTATCCGGTGTCTTCCCTCCATCTGGGCTTGCTCAGGACGCTGGTACATTGGTCAGTATTGTATCTGTATTCTTTTTGTATTTCTGTAGACAAGCTTTCCCAGAGAGGCTTAAAAAAATCTGTTGAAATTTCTCCTTTTGTATAAAAACACTCCTGCCAAATCAGGTTATTTTCTTTGCACACAAGGCTGTGCACATCACGTAGTCAGCGACAAATGACCTTTGGTGCACAAGCTGCCATCTCACGTGCTTTTCACCGAGAGGGAAACACGACCAGCATACAGATGGTCCCTACACTTCCTTTTGGAAAGGAAGATGACAGAGATCAACAAGGCAGCCAAAACCCCACGTGATGCTCCGAGGGAACCATGAAGGACTGTGTCTGCCTCAAGCTGCCTGCCCCAGCAGCGTAGTCCTGGAGCCGAGCACAGTCTCTCCCCTCTCATTGTTCTTCTCTTCTCAAATAAAGAGACAAGCACTGTGGGGTGGGAAGGCCCCCAGCAACTCGGGTTGTGTAATACACAGCGAGTAGAGAACCTGCTAATATCAGTCAGGTAGAATGGAGACACTTTCATCATAAGAGCCCTTCTGAAAGTTTGATGACTCCTCCTTCCACGCTCAAATGGCCTGCCAAATGCTCCAAGCCTCATTTTTAAAATATTTATACTTCTTTTTTTTTTAACATGCACTGCACAAACCAAGGCTGGAACAGAGAGACTATAACTGATTTTAAGAATAGTTCCTCTTTTAAGGCAGTTGGGAGAAACTTTTAGAGCAGTATATTGTACGCTGTGTCTGAATTCTGAGGTTTCAATACAATAGAGCGTATCTTTTGCTTGATAAACCTTACATAAACTAGAATGTTTCACGAGCCACCCTTCCCCTTAGATTTTGCTTACCTTAAAACTCAGATTCTTACAACTCCTGCTTCTCTCATACACTGTTTCCTTCCTGCTCTTCTAAACACAGAGCAGTCTTTTCTGTGTCTCTATTCAAACGCTTAGCTGCCCTTCCTGTCTCCTAGTGTCTAAAGTAGTGCTTCATTTAAAGCTAAAAAAAAACCAACAAAACACCAAGACATTGTAAATACCCTTACTAGTTAGAAATTTGAAGTTACCTTACTATGCTACACAAAGTTACCTTTTAAGGCTTGTAACAAAAAGATATACATAGTATTCTGTATCCCCATTTATTGTTGTTGGGGTTTTTTTGTGTTTTTGTTTTAGGGTTTTTTTGTCTTTTTTATTTTATTTTTGAAGCAGCTCTTTAAACTGACTGCTGTCTATTTGTAAGTAAAAAAGCAATAGGTGGGATATCTGCTGAAGAGTATAGCCATGCTCATAAAACACAAGTTGACTACTTTCTGAATTATGAATAAAGCTTTGAAAAAACATACGGAGAACCATTGCTAAACCCTGTTTTGTGGAAATTACATCAATGCCTAATCGAAAACTCATACTGTAACCCTGCCACAAAGACTCAACCACTTGACTGTTTAACACTTTGCAAACTGGTCTGTAACACAGAGGAGAAAACAAGCATCCCTCCCAGCTTTTTCTGTATAATCCACTGGGCTTTCCCACATTAGATTCCTATTTCAAGGCTTTACATTTCGATTAAACGTTCTTTATTGCATACAATTTTATTTAGAGAGTAACAATCCCTTTTTTACGCAACACTTGATTGTCTTCCAAAGGGTATGTTAGTATCGCGCATCCCCTAGCTATTATCAGTTTCTGGTAGGTTTTAGCGCGTAGGTTGAATGTTCAGAAAGTAATGAGACAGCTCCTCCAGAAACTGCAGCACACCTGAAAACACTGATAGGACATGGGGCTGTAACCTCCTGCCGACATGCCTGTTTCTCAACTAGACGAAGGCTAGAGTTGCTAAGGAGGGTGGCAACTTCTGCCAGATATTTTGACATCTGGCTGTTTGGCCAGAGTCAACAAGATTTGTACAAGGATTATGAGATAAACTACGTATTTGTGCTAACTAACAGAATGTTGCTTCATTCTCTAGGCAAATAAGCAACTATGTACATAATGCTCTACATGAGACCCTCAGCTTAAAAACGTAAGCCTTGATGAGTTTTTCTACGTGTAAACCAAGGTGATTCGGTTTTTACCAGCAACACAGAACTGTGTGTTGGGTTTTTATATAACACAGAGAAATGAACCTTAAGAACAGAGCTCCTTCTAGAACTAAGAGTCCTGTGCACTGCCTGGAGCATTCATATCTGCAGTTCACTCAGACACGCTGGAGATAAGAGACTGAGGGCAAAGTCAAACATACTTCAGATGTTTGGAGTTAAACAAGGGACTGAGGAGAAGCACAAGTTGCTTTTAAAAAAGGGCAAAAGCTATCTCAAAAAACAAACAAACACATTTTTAAGACCTTTTCAAAGTGCCAGACAGCAAATTAAACTTCCCAATTACTATAAAAAAAAAAGACTGCTTTCCTCATTTTGTTTATATCGCATAGTCAAATCTAGTATGGGTCCTTACGTTATGACAATAAGGATTTTTTTGTAGGGCACTGTTGGTGTCTCTTTCGAAATGGTAGTTTTCTCCGGGCTGTTATAGCTGAAGCTTGTATTACAAAACCAGAGAGATTGTAAACATGAATACATTCAGACAAAGGTAAGCATTTAGCCATCCAAACCCACAGAACTTACTGAAACATCTGGTTTAAAAAACCAAACCCCAAAAAACCAACAGGCAATGTACTTACTGCATGTGTGTAACAGTTAGCAGCATGTTCATAGCAAGTGGGCTTGTAGCGGCTGTTTGCTGGAGCTGGGTGGTTCATGAACCTGTTGAATAATTAAGAGGTATTTTTAGGAAAGTTAATAAACCATCTCTTTAGAGTGTCAAGAAGGAATACTTCCAACCTAGTCAAGTTAAAAATTGTAACTACAGACAAAATTTAAAATTGAAGTTCTCCCAGAAAAGTTCTTTTAACAAAACCACACATTAAATAAATTCTGCAACTGCCTGTCGCAGTGGGTGGTTCTCTTTAATCGTGACTTTGCATCCAAGTCAGACCCTCTCTTTTCCAACAGCTCGGTCAGATGACATAGGAACTACCTGCTATTTAAATCACATAATATGAATCCAAATTACTCCTGAAACATGGACTTCATCAGAGCTGCCAAGGGTTATGCTTCTAGGAAGTTCTTGAAACTGCAGCAATGTTCCAGTTCTACAACATCTCAGAACACAGCAGCTTGAGCGCTGACTTTCCCACGGCAAGCAGCACCGGTGTCTGGAGTGTCAGACGCGTCACATCTCCCTTTGAGGCTAATCCCATCCTCTGTCTATAACCGATACCCAAGCTACACGGGGATCAAAGGAGACACAATTAATTCTGAAGAGGAAAGAGTTCAAGAGGCTTACCATAGACATTCCACCTTTTCCTCTAAAAATTTTCAAACGTTACCTGACAACCAACCAACCACCCCAAACACAGCCTGTGCAAGCCAAATGAAATATGACGAAACTGGAGAAAGTTTTGGAAGAACTTGCCAATACAAATGTTGCATTTAATTATTCTAAAAAAACCAAACACTCCAGGCTTTTCTGTGAAACAGAATTTAAATCTGTCTGTAAAAGGCTGTAAAAGACAGCACACAGTTAAGTACAACCAGCCAAATCAATGTTACAAACTACTCCAGCCACACTACTGTGTGTGCTATCCCAGCACAGCCCACTAGCACACAAAACAGATTCTCCTTCCCTAATAAACTCCAATTTACTCCAGACTATTACAAAACTACGCAATGACAGTTAGTCGGGTACCCAACAAGCCCAGAACACCTTCACAATAATTACAGACCATGTCTGTATGTTAAGAACTGAAAGCAACTTTGTTAGCTGGATTTTCAAGAGCTTGTTTGACAAACTTTGATCCTCCCCCATGTCCCTCCTGGTTGAAGGCAAAACCAGTCCTATTTTTATGACATCCATAAAACACTGGCTGACCTCAAAATAGGGAAGAACAAACAACCAACTCCAAAAATCCAAGCAGAATCTTATATTTTGAGTAAGCAGTTCCAGCTCTCCACAATATAAGACACACAGCTTCCTTGACTGATTTATTAAGTCATTTGTAAACATTTTTTTTCTAAACTGATACACGAAATTTTAACAGCGCTGATAAAATAACGATGTCATGATCTCCTAATTGTGGCAATTTCAGATAACAGTTTCAACTGTTACTAATACAAAAGATAAAAACGTGAATTCCATTCACAGATGCACAGAATAATTCCATGGGAGTTAACAGTGTTAAAAAATAGCAATTCCTTGGTCAGTGATACATGACGTCTTGCTCTCATCTCCAAGAGGATGACGCTGCAGTCGCGTACACAGGCTCCCAGAACATTCGGCAAATTATTTTGTTGCCAGTATATACAGGTCTCCAACAGCTGCCGAAGACCATCTCAGCATCCTCTACAGATGGAACATTCAGTTTCCTCAGTTCTGCTTCCAAGTTAGGAAAACATTTAAAAATAAAAGCATCTGTTGGCTCAGTCGAGTGACCAGGATTAGACTGCCCCTGCCCACCTCCATAAAAACTCAAAGTCCTGGGAAACCTTTCGCTGATTACATCTAAACTATTATAACATTTCTCCAAAGGCCATGGTAGTACCTTGGAAGTCTCATGGGAAGTAAAAAAAAAATTTAAAAACCCTCAAACTCAAAACTAAACAACCAAAAGCAATACACTACCCTCAGTATTAACTTTATAATTTTTGTTGTTCCAAATTTCTATACAAGATATCATCATCTAAAAATTCACGCTAAAGGGATCTTCTAGAGTCTATTAGAGGACTAGTTTAAATACGAATGAAAAAGAAAAAAAGTATTAGTAGAAAAGATATTGGATATTTCTGAATCAGTCACAATAGAGCCTGGGCAATGTTAGATTTTAAACAGGATTATGAATAAACACTTAAAGTCCATTTATTACTAGGACCTCTTATTTTTGCTAATTTAAAGACAGTGTTATTAGCAGTAAAACAAAACATGAAGGCACTAACAAAGGTATCATTCCTCTGTTATCTACACAAAGGGTTGGGTTTTCTTCCCCTTTTTTTGTGCCAGCACAAGAATAATGCAAATATTTGTTCATCTGTGCCATAATTTTAGGCTGGCAAAACAGACAAGCATCAGCTTTCAGAAAAATTCACACTTAAAAAAAGTAATGTCTGAACTGTTTTGTAAAAAAATACATATTTCAATTCCAATCACTTAATGTAAAATGCCAACCAAAATGATCAGGAACACGGCTGTGGAAGAGAAAGCTTTACTGGACTCCCACCACAGCTGAAACTTGCTTTTCTTCCACCAGAGAGTTCCAGCAAGAGCCCACCGTTAGCAGTAACACGCTACCCGTCTCCTTCACCTCCACAGCCACACCAACACCGCTGCCACCGGGGAGCTCTGGCAGGAGAGGGCGGATTAGCCTTTCCCTCTGCTTAAAGCAAAGGCTCTCGTGATACCCCAGCGCTCCCCTTGCCCTGCGCTGGACATACCCACACCCCTCCCGGCTGGAAGGTGTCGAAGGCAAGCGGCTGCACGACCCAGGCAGCAAATGCTGGAGCACGTTTGCTCAGATCACTACTTGCAAATAACATTTTCAGTAAAGCAAAGCTTCAGTTATTTCCCTGTGCCTTTTTGTAACACTCTTTATAAACGTTATCGGGAACAACTTCGGAGGAAAGATAATTTATGAAGCAGTTGACTAGGGCAATAACTCCAGCCAATGCTTCTCCTGAGTTTGCTTCATTTCAAGTTTAACAGTTTAACTCCTTAAGAAACGGACCTGAAGTTTGGAAATAGCTGCTTTGTGATACTACGCTAAAATACTCATTAAAACCAGAAAAAAAATATTTTGACACAGACTGTTAAAAATCAGTCATATAGTCCTGTAGTTACGTACACATATGACCTTGCAGTATGAAGGCAGAAGAATTTGGTTGCAGACTTACTCACAGTCTAGAGGCAGAAATTGTTCTGTTTTTTTCCCTAAATAAATAAATAAACCCCAAATGACCAAGAACAACAGATGCTTTTTGTTCTCTGCCATGTGAATAGTGCAACACAGGGACATTGTGTTTTCTTCTATCTACAGGTCAAGTTTCCCTCCTCTGAAAAAGATAATTGTGAGGAATATAACCTTGCTCTCCTAAAAGCAGAAGTGCAATAGATAGAATTCAGGTGCTGTTTTCTCTTAAATAAAGGCTCTCTATAACACTACCGTTAAGGTTATTATCATCAAATGCAGGACAGTGCAAAAAGATTCCACTGAACTGGACTGCAGTTTACAGAAGATGCTTTGAAGTGAAGCCTTTTGATTCTCTAACATATTCTTTAACAAGAGCTCTACTGAAACCAAAGTAATTTAATCAGGTGATATGCAGCATTATCTCACAAGAAGGCATAAACATTTCTCCATTTGAGATACTGACAAGATCTCTAATATAAATTATTAACTCATTCAATACCAGAACGTGAAGCTTCTGAAATGAACAGACTAATAACTACTTGCAGGAAGCCATCGGAACAGAATGCTTTTACACCGACCTGAGCTATGAGTCCACTTGCACAATTTAAATGAATTCTTAAAGCTCAAGAACTACTTGAGGCCAAGGAAGTCCAAGCCTCATAATTGCACAGCATGCAAACAATCTTCTTTGATGAGCACATTCCCAATATAAGTGGTAAAGAGGTATTGAGAAAGGCAGATGTCAATTTAAGACGAGAAAAAGAAACTCGTACCCCTCCCTTTACACTACTTGAACTCTGATATTAAACCATTTCAAATATTTAAAATGTTAAACATATGGACTAATCCTTTTTTTTCGTGAGAGATCCCCGGTCTCATGTTCTTATTCTTTCCCAAGGAGCAGATGCTACATGTTTCCTAGTGATTCCAGAATTAAGAGATCATAGAATTTGGGAGAGAAGGCAGGAAGAAAATCTGGGGGTTCTTAATGCTTTGTCTTTGTGAGCCAACGCGGCTTAGAAAAATAAAAAAATCCCCAATCTATTACATGTATCTGTACAGCATTTGTCTGATATCACAGCAAGCTCATACTCAGAACTGCAGAAGAGAAAAGCACTTTTCAAATCTTGCCTTACTCTTGATTCCCATCTGCTGAATGAATTACTCTTTGAAGCATGAAGTAAAATGTCAGTAAAAACAGCAAGCTCTGATAATAGCATCAAAGATCTGGTTTTTTTAGTCTTTTCAGGAAGTGCATTTCCTTTATTCAGCTCAAAAGGCCTCATACTTCCTTTTACCAGCTTAAAAGCACATTACTCCTTTTTTGTATTTTTTTCTCTTGTGCTTTTCCAGCAGCAGGAGAAATCATTTAGATCCGATAAGCCACAAATAACAGCATATGAAAAACTGCAACAAGGTGGGAATAACTCCACAAAACCAGCAGTAGCATACATGAAACGAGGTTACATATTCAGATACCGAAGCAATTTTTGTAATATAGGGGGTTTTTTTGTTTGTTTTGACAGGAAAAACAAAAACAAGCAGCTCAAACTATCAGTGAAATCACACACCGTGCGAAGGTTCGTGTGCTTCCAGCACGATATTAAATGAGACCTGCGATACCCTAAGGATCCATTAACAGTCGCGCTGTCACACACAGATGTCACCGAGATCTGTGCATTCCGAGAGGCTCCCCAACCTTCTGGCAAGCAGGAGAAGCCAAATTGCAAGCGGGGCGCGCAGCGGGGCCAGGCCAGGTGCTGCAGCACCCCA